TCATGGGTGAGGGGCCATCCACTGGAGCAGGCTCCACCTATTAAAGGACCATATCCTTGAGCTCCTCTCCCCTCCATGGTGGAATGTTGACTGACTTGATCTTGCTCAGGTCTAGTGCAGGCAACCGCAGCTGCTGTGAGTTCAGGAGCACAGCAGTCCCGCCATGTCCAGAACACTCTCTATTACCTCGATTTCTCCCTGACATCTGGCTCTTACAATCTTTCTGTCCCTTCTTCCTTGAGCCTTGAGAAGGAGTGTGATATGGATGTCCCCATTTTAGGCTGAGCACTACATAAACACTTATTCTTTGCACATTGACCACTTGTAAGTTTCTGCTTCTATTGGTGTCCACAAAGAAACTTTTCTGCTCAGGTATGAGGCTGCAGTAATTTACGGGTATAGGGATAAGAATTTATAGGGAGGGTGGTTTGATGTATCCATTTAGCAAAATAACAGCTGTAGTTTTACCCATGAGTTCTGTAAGCTCCCCAGTCATGGGTTCTTAGACAGTTATTCAGTACCAGGCATGCATTTCCCCTGTGGAGGAGTTTTTAAATCCAATTAGAAAGGGACTGGTTACCCCAATAACATTCATCCCACTACCGTACCCTTGGGCATATCTTGCTGTACCAATTGTTATTGTAGCTCATAGGGTTCACAGCTAGATAAGACTGTCAAAGAAATTTTATACATTAGCATTTCAGAAACTCTGAAGGCAAGCCAGCAGGGAAGACGCTACCTGGTCAGTAGCAACTTGATTTATTCATGTCTTGTGACCAAAGTATGTGTTGTCTTTAGCAATAGGGTCTTACCATTAAGTTCGGTGGATAACGATGAATAATGGCAATGACCTGTATTGTCTTGAAGATCTCTGGGAAACCCCTGACTAACATTTTTTAATGGTTATGTTAAATACAACATGAGTTTTTACTCAGCAGCAGCTAACTAACAGAGGGCAGTTTGAGCGAGACTGATTTTATGTGTGAGCACATGTTTATGTGTGGAGGTACATATGACTCTGTAGGTGCATATCCCTATGTGTGTGCATGCACATGGAACTCAGAGGACAGTGTGCAGTGTTCTTCCTCAGTTGCCTCTTTTTTTAGTTTAAAATCTTGTTTTGAAAATTTTATAATGAGTACTGTGTTTACATCATTCCCATCCCCTTTTCTCCTCCATCCAATTCTTCCAGTGTCCACCCCCAAATCCCTCTCCAATTCATGACCTCTTCTGATGTAATTGTTATATATATATATATATATATATATATATATATATATGTGTGTGTGTGTGTGTGCATGTGTGTGTGTGTGTGTGTGTGCCTGTGTGTGTGTGTGTATGTGTATGGCCTACTGAGTCCATTCAGCGTTATTTATAGGTGAAGTGTTTGAGGCTGACCACTTGGGATTGGATAACTTATCAGGGAGTTCATCCCCTAGGGGAAATCGATTCTCCTTCTTTTACCAGCCATTGATTGCCTGTGGATGTTCATCTAGAGACGGGCCTTGTGAAATTTCCCCATCCACATTGGCTTGTCAGCTCAGGTGTTGTCATTATGCATGTCATGTTTAGGCAACTGTTATTGGCATTTCATGTCTAGAAGACATTATCTCACAGTTCTGGTCCTCTGTCTCTTACAATCTTTCTGTCCCCTATTCTGCTATGTTGTCTGAATATAAGGGTTGCACTCTAAATGCACCAATTGAGGCTAGGTACCCCTTAGTCACTTATTCTCTGTGTTTTGACCAGTTGTGGATCTCTGTAATAGCCTCCATCTCCTGAAAAGTTTCTTTGGTGAGAGGTGAGAACTACACTTATCTGTGGGTATAATGTAAGTGTTTAGGATGTAGTTAGAAATTTTATTTAGGAGAATGGCAGTAGTAGGTTCCCCTCCAAGGTCTATGACCACTCCAGTAACAGGTATTTGGCTAAAAGGTTTATAGTACCAGGCACGAATTCCCTCTTATTGAACAGGCCTTAAGTCCAATTAGACAGCTACTGGTTATCCCCAGGCTGGTCATTGCTGTGGTTCATAAGCTTTACAGCTGGGTAGGACTATTTATTGCTTTTCTCACTTGGCAGCTTGCATAGCATCTTATGATACTATGAAAGATAGTCCTCAGAGAGAAGGCTTCCAGTTTCAGCTCAATTCCTCCAAGTCCTATATCTGAAGTGTGTGGTGTCTTCAACAATAGGGTCTTACCTTCAAGCTCTAAGAGATAACCAAGGGTGATGACAATATTCTATACTGTTTGGGGAGTCTTTTGAACTAACTACACTGACGGACAACTTGAAAACAAATTGGCCTGGAGCTCACCAAGTAGGGATCCTCCTATCTCCACTTCCCTGGGTATGAAATTAAAAGCACACACCACCACACCTGGCTTTTTGTATAGGGGGATCAAACTCTTATCCTTGGGTTTGCAACTTATATATTTAATGCGAGAAGGTGTGAGAAAAAAGGACGGATGACAGACGAAGTCGAGATTTGAGACTTGAACATTTAGACAATAGTGCCATTTGAAGACATGTGGAGAACTTGTGGGGATGAGGACAAGCTGAAGGTAGATCAAAATGCCTGTTTGGGGACCAGCGAGATGGCTCAGCTGCTGAGAGTGCCTGCTGCAAAGTCTGATGACCTTAGTTTGTTCCCAGGACTGACACAGTAGAAGAAAAGATTGACTCTCACAAGTTGTCTTCTAGCTTCCACATGCATTCAATGGCGTGCATGTGTCTTCATGTGTAAATACATACTAAATAAAAATGTAATTTCAAGAAAGTTCTGTTTTGTACCCATTTTGAAGGGACTATTAGACCTATCAATGGGAATATCAACCCTACCGAGCCCTGTCCAAATTCCTTAACCATTGTTTATCACAACAAGAAGATGGGTTATGGGGTTA